ACTCGTATAATCTACCACGTCAAACGAGTGTATAATTCTGTTTCCACAAAAAATCTCGGAGGAATCAGATAGCATGTTCTTCGAGCTGTCAAGCAACTATCACTCTGAATCAACAGTGTATCACGAATAGTGAATAAGTGTACAGTAGTCGACTCATCTCGAATGATCGATAGTTCAGAAATGATATTCAACAGAGGCTTGGAAACAACCAAGAAGGGTGTGCTCATGATTCTCGGATGATTGTGCTGATCTTCGTGGGTGGACATGTGTTATAGAACTCAAATCCCCAGAGTTGGGTGAAGATCTCAATAGTATTAATTAGTGATGACTGATTAGCAGCCGTTTCATTATCATCATGGGCGTCGTGCGGACGATCGATACTCGAGTGATCTGAAGACAACGGAGCTCCTTAGCTGACATCTATTATAGATGATCTAAATACATATATACATACTATAGATGATCTATAGTATGTATATATGTATATATATATCTTATTTATAGCGTATATCTATATATGTATATATGTAGTTCTTTTCGCGATCTAAACGCATTATTCTTAGCCGACTGAATAAAACAAATGCAATTTTATCGCCGAGCTCGCTCAACTCGTATACTGACTTTTCTCTTTGTTTTCCAGTAAGGATCATATTCAAATGTTCTCCGTGAATGGAGAGGTTTTGTTCTTCCAGCTCAGAGACGGGCCATGGATCCCCACGCTGAGGACGTTACATAGATGTAGGAATAGGGGAAGGAGTGGTATGAGAATAATGTGTTTACTATTGAATCAGTCCCTACTATGATGCCACTGGTTCGAGTCGATCGGGGTGCTATTCGCTTCGTCTTGAAAGGTAGTTTGAGGAGGAAGCGGTGTGGGAAAATATGCACATGGTCAACTACTACGCGTGTGGACGAAAAACGCTGTAAAATGTGTGTATATGTGTAACTTTTGAGCTCAACTAGGGCGTAATATTTCAACAATTATTCGAGGAATTTTGGCGCGCGTTCACTCTGAACGGTTCAACACTCTGTCGGGCTGGTCGTTATCCACCACCGATGGATCTCTAGGTGGGGAAATTGTCATTATTGTTATCATAACAATGTTATGACTCTTTTGTTATTCCTCTGAGAACTAAATTTATGCGGATGATATTTCAAAGGCCGTAGTGCTCGCGCTCTTCCTTACAAGGTGCCAATATAATGACTCCTGGTTTGACGAGCCCTGGAGGCGCCTTGCCAGAGCATTTGGAAAAGGATCAGATAGTTGTAATATGGGGGGTTACTGTAGGAGGGAGGGAGGTCGCTCGTCCATTGCTGAGAACTCGCGCAAGACTATTCATCAGAATTCGATCTTCCAAAAAACGGTTGTCCCTTTTGTATTTCTCTGCATGCCGAGGAATCTATTCATAGTTCGATCGTTTTCTGAATCTACGTTATAATCGCAAAATACTTCATCTTCCAATTTGGAAGATCCAAAGTGACATATGCTCTGCTCGCTTCCAATTCGTTGTCGTTTTTGAATGACACTTAAATGATTTCCGTTTTATGTTAAAAAAGAATTTTTAATACATAACAGTAGTACAATAGCACTGCGATTAGAAACTTTCCGAAAAATTTATGAAAACTTGAGTTTACGGTTTTGATTACTTTGAGAATTTTCCAGGCGGTCATAGGAGAAGGGAAGGAGCACATCTGTGCTATTGGGAAGACTCTGCAGTCAGCTGATGAGATGTAAGAAAGGAGTGGTATCGGTTATATTTAAATGATTATTCATGTTCGTCTTCTCGAGGAAAGTAAAATTATCAATCGTCGCCATAGTTCGAGCGGTTTCTGGATTTTTTTGAAGAGCCACGCTGCGTGGCTCTGGCGGTCTGACTCGTCTGTCATATGATATCGTAAGCGTTTGTGCAACTTGTCTACTGATCCTTTCGGTTATCCGTTTGAAAAGAGCTCACTAAAATGTAACGGTATTAGTTGCGTTTACTGATAACTGAGTAAGCTGTTATACACATAGTTTGGGTCTTTAGGAGGTCGACGAACCAGGGTATTGCGATTGAGAATATCCATTATTTGAATGATGGGTTGTGGAAGCTGGCATCGAGAACACTTTGAGTTCCGTTGTGCTGTTGAGACTCAACAGTTGAGTAAGTGCCGTTTCGATTGAGTTCTATGTGTTTTTTATGGATTGATACGGGTTGACAGTATGTTTGGCCAAGAGAAATCTGAGGCCTATTTCACAAGAAGCGCTCCTTAAGGTGCACTTTGAATTTAGGAGCAAGGAGCCTTACACCTTACGCGAGGTGCTCTCACTACAGTTTCACCTCATGCTCCTTATGCTCCTAAATTTAAGGTGCACCTCGTGGACCCCAATAAGGAGCACGAGGAGCACCTAAACACATACCCACGCGCATCAAAAAATCGACACAGTGCTTCAATAGAGCTCGCTCAACAGGGCTACTGTAAGTCGTTTGCCTGACCCGCACAACTACTACTATGGACGCGGAAAACTTGAATGAAGGAGACTTCCAAGACCTCGAGTATATGAATGACATAGCAGTCGCAGGGCTGTTAGAGGCCCATCCTCTGGCTGACCATTACAATCCCCTCGAGACTCTCGCACGGCCAGTCACCCTGAATCGGAGTTGTACCAGGGTAATGGAGACGAATATCGAATGCCAACAGTATGTGAATGTCTTCGGGCATCAAAGGGCCGAGAGATACTCCAGGTAACGATATTTGATTTGAGTGCCACCCAAATTGGAGTTCTAACTTCCCACTATCCAGGATTTATCAACGAGACATATACACAGATACCGAGAGCTTGTCTGTGTTTACTAATAAGTCGGACTGCCAAAGACGCGAACAGGAAGAGTGTAACGGTTACGCCTCTTCTGTTCCTCCCTTGGGTTCAACTCAAAGTCTGCTTGAACGCAGGGACGACACAGGCAACGGCAAATAAACTACCGAAATATGGAATAAATAGGGGATCAACTACTGGAAAAACATGCGGGTAACTCTGTTGGAAGATGAAACATCAGAATTATTGATAGATTGGATCATAGATGGTTACATCTTCCTACTAGGAGAAAGTTTTGAGCATGGCAATAAGTACCGTAACTTGTCGAAATTAAGAGGAAAAGAATCTTCTGGGGGGCACGAGCAACTGCGTGAGACCACTGATCTACAGGCATGCTGCAGGGAAGCAGCACTTTGTTGAACCCCATCTAGCGAAGGAGAGGATGTCCGACTCAGGATCATGAGCGAGCTGATAACAGGTATAAGAGTGTTGAGCCGTCGGTAATATATTGAGGCAAGTCCCATTCGGAGTCAGCCCCTGATAGAGTTATTATCACTCAGTTATACAAGCCTAGTGATGACCTCTCGGTTGCCTAGTAGTGACGTGACCAACAACCCAGAAGTGACAGAGATAAGATATGTCAAATCAACGCCGATCTTGAATTTCAATTCCGGACATTCGCGTGAAAGTTGAGTGAGTGTTTGGTTCATCCTTTGTGCTTGGTCTGGCTTCAGAACATATTGCTGAAAACCGGAGGCGTTTGATTTGAGATACTTGAATGAATCCAGAAAGCCAACACTTGATGCACATGTGAAAACCATGCTCACCACATCATCAGCGCCCACATCAAGCCCAAGCTTTAGTCTAACATCTCTGGGATAGCTGAACACATATCTACCTGGTGTCATGTCAAACCCAACCCTCCTGAGGACGAGTTTGTGGCCCGCGAAGTGAACAGCCATAGAATCAGGACTCGTGTAATTTAGATACTTCAAGTCGTTCGGTCTGAACGGGATGCCGTGAATCATCGTGCATATCACTTGATGCCAGTATTTCACACCACCGGAAACGCTGGGGAAGTTAACCTCATATGAATAGTTGCTACCAGGGACCTTTACGAGAGGGTAGACACCATCGGCGAATGTTCTCTCTAGTATCACACTCACAAAGATACCAGCTTCGCCGCTCTCTGACACGACGAAAGTTACATTGATAACGTTCCTGTGAATCCAAATGAACGTGCCAGCATATTGAGCCGTCGTCAACATGAGCATTTGGATGCCTATCAGCCAAGGTAGAGCGTACTTGATCATCGAGGAGAAATTATAACTGAAGTTCAAAAACTAGATGTATGGCGCAGGCTGGCTCGAACCCGGGAATAACTGGTGGCAACTCAGCCCCCTTGCTCCTTGAAGATGGGGTCTCAAATAGGTTGTATGAATTGGGCATCACAAGATGGGAAATGAAAAGCCACACAGAAGAGTGCAAGATCATAACCCATAACGGGGTCAGAGGACTCAGCAATTCGCTAAGTCCTATCGCCGAGTCCATATGCGTTTGATAGTAACGCACGAAAATGGGTGCAATGAACGGGACCGATCGCGCACGTGCCAGTGACACAGTGTCGTTGTCGGCATCACGATTATCGTGAAACGAGATTACGCGCGTGAGAAACACAAGACCCCCAGCGAGTTCTTTGGAGTGGGGTATCGATTCTCGGTTATATTCAAATGATTATTCGTGTTCGTCTTCTCGAGGAAAGTAAAATTATCAATCGTCGCCATAATTCGAGCGGTTTCAGGATTTCTTTTTTAAGAATTCCGATTTTTTTTCGATTTTATCGAATATATGCATTGTCCATTACTCAAGTTAATGTTTTGCATATGATGAGACTTTCTCATGAGCTTGTATTACAGCTGGTGTGGTTTTTACCTGTGATATGTAAAGTCGGACTCGTCAAGGCGAAGTTCATGTACCGGAGTTCGCCATTTCACAGTGTGAATTTCACGTAAAATTCACACTGTAGGATGTAGGATATATCACTGGAGTTTCTCTCGTTTCACGTGAAGTGGCGTAATACTCCATCATGGAGTCTCCATGTGAAGAATGTAATATTCGCGATATGGAGTGAAATGAAAACACTTCGCGAATTACACCGGACAGATCACCCAATTTCATGTGAAACACTCGCAGCTTTTCACGTGTTTCACGCGACACGCGTTATCCACTGCTCATGTGCGTTTTTCGCAAAGTGAAATGTTAGATGTGTTTTTTACTAGTGTTTTTCATATCACGGGTGCAACTCCAGTGTACAGTTCGTAACATCGTAAGCGTGGGCCACGCTGCGTGGCTCTGGCGGTCTGACGCGTATGTCATATGATATCGTAAGCGTTTGTGCAACCTGTCTACTGATCCCTTCGGTTACCCATTTGAAATGAGCTGAAATGTAACGGTATTAGTTGCGTTTACTGATAACTGAGCAAGCTGTTATACACATTTTTTTCAGGAGGTCGACGAACCAGGGTATTGCCATCGAGAATATCCACTACTTGAATGATGGGCTGTGGAAGCTGACATCGCGAACTCTTTGAGTTTCATTGTGCTATTGAGTGAATGCCGTTTCGATTCAGCTCTATGGGTTTTGTTATGAAATGATACGGGTTGAAAATATGTTTGGAAAAAAAACTTCGCAAAGAATCTTTGCGCACTTCGGAGATTTTTCGAGTTGGTAGAGGGTCCGGACTGGACCCTCGATCTAAGCGATCGACCGTCGATTGCCCCACTGGCAAGCATAGGTTAAGCGCCCAACACTTAGTACACGTGCCCCCGTTGCGGGATTATTAAACGGATTATCGGTTTATGACGTGGATAGTAGCTCTATTATAGTTAGTATTACTATCATTTTTTAATGGTTAACTCCGTAGACAACGACACTCTTGAGTTAGCACTGGGAAGACCTTGAGCCAAGTGACACCGCAATATGTGGTATGCTTTGTAGTTCAGGTGTTTGTAACGTTTCTGGAACTTCTCTGCGCGCATCCACAGCTTGAGACTCAACACCATCACCAGAGGTAACTGCGGTCGACATATCGAATGAGAGATAAAAAGATTCGGGCGTAATAAGATTACGAACAGCACGTCTCCATCACCGTAGCGCACGCCCTAGTAATCGACCGAGACAATCAAGAATATTCTTCCACATAATTCGTTCACACTATGGATCTTTCATAGTGGTATATTTGTTGTAATGTCTCTCGCCAGATGTATCGTCCCGTTTAGAAAATGGTTGACGTCTATGCAGGGAAAATCGTCATCGAGTTTGCGACAGAGTTTTTGCTGGCTTTCCCAGACCATTCCTCAGTTGAGCTGACACCGATGGTTGTTCGTTGATGGCGGTCGCTCAGGAGTTGGTAAGGTTGAATGCTCTGGTCTCGTACCATGCGTTGTCAAATTTTCAAACCCATTCTCAGATACGATCGGCTGGTCTCAATGGGATCATCTCATTGACGAGGATCATGTGAGCAGGACGGATCGCTCTAAGAGTGTTACGTGAAATGGGATACTGAACCGTCAATTGAGGTGTGTATTGGAGTCGGACAGCAGGAATTTGTGACAGGAAGGTGTGTTCGGTCCTACGCCCATAGTCTGCCGAGGATTCCACATATCATAGGCCGACACCCGGTGCTCGGTGGAGACTCACAGAACCTACTGGGTTTCGTGAGTCTGAACTTCAGACTAGTTTTCCCGAGAGTATCTCACTCCGGTGATTACTTGAATGAATTCCGGTTCGTCTGAGCTCGGCCGAATGTTTCCCGGCATTTCCAGTAGCCGTTTTGTCTCGATCGGTAATTCATGGATTCGATTCATACTGGGGAAGGAGGGCTATCGGCTGCAGTTTGAGCCCCGAGGGACTCTAGGTAGCGATGGCACAGGAGTCGCTCTTCAAAAGTGGTAGAGGAAAAGGTTTCATTGGCTTTGGCCACGTGAGATAATGAGATGGAGATCATTGTCGAGTCGTACAATGATTCCATTAGGCAGTTCAGCCCTGGTAGGTGAAGCTAATAACTTCACCTACCAGGTCTACTCCAGAGGTTCGGTCCGAACCCTTCGGATCTGACTTCACTCTGGCGCATGCCACGAACGTGGGGTTACACGAGTTGGAGGATCTCGAGATGCACTTCGACTGTGGGGAGCGCACTAGCGCTGGAGATCTTGTTCCATTGTGCAAGATCACCTGCAAGGCCACGCTTCTTCCTGCAGGGCAGCACACCACTGGGCAACTTCAAATTATCCCGATGCAGACGCATCGAGTTCA